GAGATGGCAAATTAGTTGGTAAAATATACTTGGATAGATTATTTGGAATATATTTTAGCATTTTTAAGTTGCTTCGTTATAAAACAATAGTAATAATAATGGAGCTTATATCAGCAATAAAGATATCATTGGTTGTAGCTTAAATCAAGACCTTTTTTAAATAATTTTTTGGATATATTAGCTTGGTTTCTGTTTTTATTTAAACTAAATAATTTGTTATACGTTTTTTTTTATTTCTTAGGCTTGGTCTAGAAGTAAACTGCAGACTGGCCAAGTATTTTTTTAAGGACTGTACACGGAAAGCCGGAAAACGGTGGGGTAAAATGGAATGAATACGAAAATTGCGCCCAACCTGCCGCCTTAATGACGGCGATTAAAGTGCAGTGGCAGGCGGCTGTTGCCAGATGTACCACACTGCAAAAAATATAGTTTTCTTAGATTAAGGATAACAAGTAAGAAAGATATTTTACTTCATCTGATCATGAGTATCTTCCCATACTAGGAATGTATTTGATTTTGTAGCGATAAAGCAACTTTTTAATATGATGGATTTATCTATTTAGCTTTAAGTTTTTTATTACTCCACATGAAAACATATTTCAAAATCTTCCCTAATTAAAAAGAAACATATTTCCCAGTTAAAAAACCAAAATGACTTTTTAATTTAAAGGGAAAATATTTTTTACTAGTGAAAAGCTGGCTGAGTTGGAGGATGGGACGGTGACACATTGTGCGATACATGAAAAACTCGTAAAGCAAAAAAGGAAACAATTACAGATGCGAACACACACACATACACACACGCGCCGTAAGAAACACAGACACAGACACACACGGGCTTACCTATGTATATGTATTCAAATACAGGACCAAAGGATGCTGTGTGTTTTATTTTGTGGGGGGCGTCGTTATAAGCGAAGTGAAGTGAGCGGTTCGCAGATGTTTGAAGGATTTCTATTACATTTTCGTTTTGTTTCAGCGATGTCGTGGCTGCTTTACTTGTATTTCCCTTTTTTGTCCTTTTTCTTCTTCTTCGTTTTCCCTGTGCTGAAGAGTGAAATTGCTTCCGCCGCACTTAACGGTGCGCAGCACTGCCTCCATCTACATCTCGGATTTTTCCTTCATCTGCCCTCGTCGCTCCAGTCCTTCTTCATTTGATGCCAAACATTTCCGCAGCTCGTCGCATAATTTAATGCAAATACTCTTACCGCTCCCCATTCGCCAAATTTGGTCCAGTGTTGTCATTGCAAAAAGCTGAAAAAGTACAAGGAAAAATTGGATAAATGATACGAAAATAGCTTCCAAGGATGGGTTATAAAGCCAGAAGAAAGGCTATCTTATAAACTTGGAAACCTTTGATGAGCTTATCGTTTGACATTTCTTAACTTTCTTTTTGCAGAAATTAATTTTAAAAATATAAAGTTTAAACAAATTCAGTTAGTTTTCTTATTGTAAAATCTTATTGAAGATTATCAAATTTTTTCTTTCCATCTTGAGGTTAAGTAACACAAATTAGGCTAGAAAATAGCCAAGTCGATAGTCCTACTTTACAGCTGGTTGTCCCTTTGTCGGGGTTTTTCATCTTTGTGGCAATTTTCCCCCCTTTCGCACTGCGTGCGGCACTAAATATCGATTTTAATAGGAAAGCTGGATTTTTGTGCATCTCGCTGGATGTTTGTCCTTGGGCTGACCTTTGCGAGCTGCATCCTGCATCCTGCAGCCGGCTCTTGGCCAGGTCCTTGAGCGCTGCTGGAAAGCTCCTTGGGCAACGATGACTTTCAGTGCCAAACAAGTTGGTAATTTAAACGGAATGTCAATTTCGCTTCACCCATCGAAGCTTTACTTGACTTTTGAAGCAAAAGGAAGTCTTATAATTATTGTCATTGCTTCCATTCCAAGGCATTACATTTTTGTAACCAATGAATGGGATATTAAAAAAACAGAATATCTAACAAATATTTCGGATTTACATTCGTCAATTTGTGTATGCACATAATTTGCATGGATGTCGACTACAAAGTGATGTCCTGACTGCGGAATTAGGCGACATGTGCCGAGGGAAACCAACCGAAATTCAAATATCTCTCAGACCAAAATTTAAGTATGCGAATTTGAATGCTAAAAAAAAGGGATAAGTCCAACTCGCTTTGAAAATAAATAAAAAAAAAAAAATAGAAAGAGAAAGAGAAAGAAACAAGGAAAAGGGGCTTATGGCGGATTTATTTGGCAACACACGTGTCTATGTAGTCCGCAAATCCCACCGTCTAAAAAGCATTTCCCCTCCGGATCAAAAACCCAACCTCACGTAAGGCAAACACAGGTTCACGCAATCCAAATATTACCGGTGAGCACTCTTAAAAGATACAAATTTGCAAAATACACACAACGCAGAAATCGTGGGCAGAGTCTTAAGGAAAATATATAGGAAAATGTAAGCAGGTTCGTGAATGAAAACATTCCAAGATGATAAGCCCAAGCTCGATTTTATAGATACAAAATCATAAAAACTAGTTAACTAGCTCCCTTAAAAAAAACTTCTCTAACCCTTATTCATATTTTTATTTAACTTAAAGTTGAATTTTTAAAACCTCTCCTAGTGGCAAGTCTATACCAATACCAATACCAAGTAGATCAGACCAAAGCTGACAAGTTTTCCGATGGCCCAGCAATCCTAGCGCATTTCCCAAGCCTATTTTACCCGCCAAACGCTTTTCGCTTAATGAGTTTTCTACTTGCGGTTTCGAGGAAAATTTGCGCAAAAATGCGACTCTTTACCTTTAAGTGCCGCGAGGGGGGGGGCGAAATGGAAAATGGTTTTTCGGGACGTTTATGGGGCGTCGTGGTTTCTACCTTAGCGGTGAGTAGTGAACAACACAGGGACCGTATGTAGTATGCTGTAAATGTTTTAGTGGTTACCGCGTTTAAGTCATTAGAGAAAATTCTTAGCAACCCGGAAAAGGGGTTAGGGTGATATTTGGTCACAGAATTTGAATCTCAAAGGTAGCGAGTTAGGCGGCAGTCTTTCGATGGCTGTGACGTGTCCTATAGGTGAGGGAAATATTTTGGGGTGGATGGGAAAAATCATTAACAACAAGTTAAATTTTTACTAAACATGTGAGGTATTCAGGGGACTTTTAAAAGGCAAGAAGGCTAGTTTTTTGTATTCTAATTTAATATTAAAAATGTATTTTTTTGAGTTAAATTGATAGAAAATAGGGAATTCTAAAGAAAAAAGTGAGTGCCGAGTTTTTACACATTTTTCTGAGTTTTTCTCTTTTATAAGTTAATTTTTTTGCAAAATTGCAAGTAATTAAACACAAGTATGTTTCCGCTCAAACTTACAAAGTAATATAAAGTAATAGCCTACAAAGTTGTCAGTTAAACTCAAATAGCTGGCTCTCTAAGAGTGCAAAATGTATGGCAAACAAACCCCTTCGGCCAAGGCTCTCTTGAGTGAAGCTTTTTTGACTCACAAAGACCGCTGACGCTGTTCTCTTACATCGCAAAGCAAACTCTTTGCAGAAGCTCAAGAGATATTCAAACTCACTCACTTCCCCCCATCAGAGTCTTAACAAGTGCCAAAAACCATATATGAAATCTCTGCTGTCCCAGGAATTGATATGTTTGACTGTCAAATATTGTATTTTCCCTTTTTACAAGTGCGAAAATGTTGGGCAGACTCGCCTGCCTCTATTTGCATACCGCTGTCGCAATGACCGTAGCGAAACGTGTCCGACGACGGCTTTAAAAAATTAACAACATTGCTCCAATTAGTCTGGTCGATCTGGCCGATCATAATTATATAGGCATACATCGGATCTTATAGATTTTTTTTTTTCGCAGGCCCTCAAACAATCGAACCTGCGTCACGGCATTCATTTTCTGCAACTCCTTTCGTTTTTAAAGCCACCTTTTTACCACCCTTGACAGACACTTAAATTGAATTTATAAATAGTAAACTGCCAATAGTTATCATTAAGTTTCGAATTTGTAGAGCAAAGACTTACTTACTAATCAAACAGCTGCGGTCTAAGTTTGGTTTGAGTTTTTGTTAATAAGTGTGTCGGATTTATATAAGTTTTTGATGGAAACTATTATTAGAGCCCTTGAAATTAGAATTATATTTTCTTAATTAATATTAAATCAGTTTTATCCACTGTAACTAGTATTACGAACTTCTTCTTTTTGGCCTTTTAAAAGCAATAATACTCCCTTTTCAAAGTTATCTCCCATAATCAAAGTTATCTTAACTTTTAAGGCCACAAAGAAACCTAATTATATTTTCTACAATTTCGTAGAACTATTACCTCGAACGTCAGATGGCTGAATCGAATTTGGCAAAAGGTAATTTAACTATTTACTAAAGGTACTCTACCCTGGACATATGGTGGTGATGGGCCTGACTAATTATCACTGAGATCTGCACTGCCGACAAAGGAAAACAAACAAATATTTACGGAACACACACAAGGAACCATTTGATTGCCTGCGGTCGGTCGATGGACCTTTCCATTTCCCTTTCCCTTCGTATCGAACCGCCATCTGGTTTTTGGAAATTGGAGTAGCTCTGGCCGGCGAGCGGAGGAATCAGCTGTGCCCAAGGTCGCACCCCTGTTAGTTTCTTGGCAAACTCAATGTTTTCCATAAGGACCATCAAAGCCATCTTTGGGTCAATAATTAAATGAACAATGAAATTGATACGTTCTGTTTTTATCAAACATTAACCCATGTGTTTGTTTTAGGTTAGGAATAATACAAGGACGTTAGGGGTTAGCTTTATAGTAGGATTTCTGTTATGTCTATGTCAGGGTTATATGGTTAACTTCGCAGCACTTGAAACTTAACATTTTTCACTTAGTCAACATCTTGATACAAACTAAAAGTGTTAGGAATAAGTTTCCCTATAAATACCATTACTAGACCCTGCAGAACCAATACGATTATAGTCTCATTTCCAGTGTCGTATCGATTTGAAACCCCATTAGCCATAATGCCATAACCGATCACATGGATTTTAGTATCCATCCGGAAATGGAGAGAGGTAACTGGTCCAACAGGGCACGTCTACTGTTGCACTTGTCCGCCGCCGTTCACCTGGGCTATGCCATCTACTTTGACTTCAAATTCACCCAGTTGCCACAGCTGGCGGTGACCCTGCGTCTGGAGCCGCCAATGGGAGGAAAGTTCAAGTACATGACCTTCCTCAGCGGTCTAGTGCAGTTTGGCTACTATACACTGGCGCTGACCTATGACATTTTGCGGATGGGATCTCTAAGAAAACTGCGTGACTATATGTTTGCCACTTTGGTCATACCTCTGGCCCTGACTGTTGGTCTGACTTTCTGGACACTCTATGGCATCGATAGGGAATCAATATACCCATCCCTGCTGGACTTCATCTATCCCAACTGGCTGAACCACACCATGCATACTTTCGTCGTGGTCTACGCCTTCGTCGAGTTGGGCATCACAAGGCATCGTTATCCGAAACGCAGTCGAGGATTCTTTGGTCTGGGTGCCTTCATGAGCGGGTATCTGGTTTGGATTCACTATGTTTGGTTCAGGACGGGAATCTGGGTTTATCCCTTTTTGGGAGGCATTGATTGGCCCTTGAGGGTCCTCTTTTTTGCCCTGATCGTAGTCCTTGGATTTGTCTACTATCTCTTTGGTGAGCATGTTAATCTCGTCCTGCGAACGCCAAGCACTGGGGATCACAAATGGAGTGGCAGTGATTAAGTGCAATGATCTGGAAAGTTAATGATAGGAAAGCTAAAAGATACTTAGGTTTAAAAGTGCATTTTACAAGTTTTATAATATTTTTCTTCTATAAATTTAAACATTTTAATAGATTTTTAATACTAAAATTGAAAAATAAAAGTAAAAAAGAAATTATTGACAGCTGACCAAGTCAGCCTCCTGAAAAACCAAAGTCATCTTCACTTTAAAAAGAAAACGGAAACGGATATCAGTAGAAATTTGACTTAAATATTCTCTGATCATGGACAAGCCAGCTGCTAAGAAGCAGACTTCATTTGGTTTCCAACTTATTCACATTCAATATTTATTACAGTCACGTGCGGAAAACTCAGCTGCCATTGGATTCTGGAAAACTCAGTCATTGTTTTACTCAATCCTTTTCAGCGGGAGGTTCCGGTTTGCCCAGGACTCCGAGATCCGATTTCGAAATATATTTCAGGACACCACTTGTGCTAATATCTCGAAAGTGAACAGCCGAAACGCATTCAAGAATGGGACACTTTTCTATTGTTTGCCGGTAAGGCAGATGGGTAATAGCCCATTCCTGTACCATTCAGTCGTTTGTGCTCTCTGTGAGATGGCTTATTGTAAGCAGTTCTATTATTATATTTACATGCCAGATGATTGCCAAATAACATTATTAGTAAGCAGCTTAAATGTTATTTTTGGGATATTTAGCATAGTTTATAGTTATAGTTTATGAATAATACAGATGTAAGTAACTTGAAGTGGCTAAAGGAAAGGTACACTCTGGATCACCTAGTGTATCTACACCTTCATCCCTTTCCTTACGTTTTAAGATCTATAATATAGATTCTATCCAAATTGAATACCAAACTGCAGTTCACTGACTTGGTTTAAATATTAGTCATAAGCAAATTTGCTCTGCAAAAGTAATTTAGACAACGAGCTTTATGAAAAGGTTATAAACCTTAAAAATTCATCTGGGGCTGAACAGAAGCCGAAATGTTGACAAGCTGTTAAATTCCGATTAGCGCACGCGAACAGCTGTCGAATTATTTGATCAATTCTCTGGAATAGCACGTTTGAAGATCGTTGGGTGATATTCCAGTCCAGGGTCAACGACAGCTCCTGCTAAAATGTTTAAAGTGATCATTAATGATGTTTATAGAAATTATATAAGACACGCTTTATTAACTCGCTTTTCAAATTGCCAAATGTTTGGAGTAAAAAAAAGTGGATAAATGTTTTCTTTCTGATAAATTAATATTTTAGGTATAATGTCTTAATCCAATGAAATGGTTTTAATAGCTGTTAAAGAAGATAAAGTTGCACTTGCATTAGCGGAAAAGTTGAATTAAATGCTGGGACGCCTTGCTGACTCCGCTGGGCAATGGGCCATTAAGACTAATTGGTCTGATTGATTCACGACGTCGTAGTGCACTGAAAGAAAAGTATATAGCACTCCTCAATAAAAGTGAACTTCAATGATAAGTTAATGGTTTTTGAATAATAATTCTAAGTTTAATAAGGCTTCTACAAATCTCAAAAAATTTGGAAGGGAACATAGTTAAGAGTACAAAATTCTTTATAAATCTTTATAAAATCGAAATTCTTTTTCTCAGTGATCACAAGTCATAGCTTTCGCGTGCATTGTTTGCTAGTTCTTCACAATTTAATTTAATTAATGAGCGTATGTATCAATTGGCTTGCAATTGTTTAATTACTCGTATCGTGTCGTGTTTTAGACGCTGATATTTTATCTTTGTTATTTTTGCCATGGCAACTATAGAGTTTTCATCGTGTCGACCTCTCTAAAAAACTAGAATTTTTTCGCTCGATTTTTCTAAGGCAGAACAAGGCTAGAACTGGCAAAGTGTCCTAAGAAAATAAGAGAAACAGTCACTGTCATCAAGTCTTAACTACTTTCTTTTGTTTTAATTTACAAAAATATGAATCAAAGTTCTCGAATCGTTAAGTTAATGAATATGCAATGACTTACAGCTTTTAATAAACCCCCTCAGAACTTGACGTCAAACAATTAGCATGAAGTAGCATTTTTTTTTTATTAATTTTGTCAATTGATCGCGGACAAGCCGCACGTTGTTTTGGATGTCACGTCCGCAGGTCATAGAGCAATAAGACACGTTGCTTCGATGTGTCGCCTTCAATAAACCGTGACGTAGAACGGAAAATCAGGCGACGACACGTGCGGTTCATAGGTCGGCGGCAAAGTCAAAGAAGCGGCTCCTCATAGAGGCACATACCCGGAAGGATCGGTAAGAACTGTCCAGACGTCACTTCTTATTGCCATGACGTGGGGCGCCTGTGCTACAAACTTAGGTTACTGAATATATTATTAGTTATATTCTTATTTAATCTTTTATAGTTTTGTTTATTATTTATCTAGAAATATCTAGAGAAGTATCAAATTTATCTTCTTATTTTTATACCCAAAACTTTGGGCCAAAAGTTCGACTGTAGACTGTGACCAGCCAGCCAGCCAGCCAGTTAGTAGATCTTCGTTTTTGAAAATCGCTATTGGCATTGGTGACTAACAGTACTTTCTGGCCTGGCCGGTGCTGTGGCTACGATAATTATCGGTCGAACCTTCAACTCGCGTGCTTTTGCTGTTGCTGGGCGACCGACAATCGAGAAACCGGTCGATGACTAATCATCAATCATGCGATGTTGTGAAAAGTGCCACGATCTGGCCTGCAATTGCACGGATCTCGATCTGATCGCTCTCTCGAATGATTTTCGACTTTCTTACAGAAACGAATATGAAATGCTCTTAAATAATGTATATATTAAATATTTTATTTAAGTTATGTAATATTAATTGAAAATTAGTTCGTTATGAAACTTCATTTTGGACATCTTTTAAGTTCTTAAAAAATATTACAGAAAGCTAAGAATTTTCTAGATCATTTTAATTTATAATAATAAATTATAACCTTCTTTGATTTTTGTAATATTAAAAAAGAATTTACATTTCATAAAGCATATCTAACTTATAATAACTTATCAGAAATATAGTTACCATAAATGGCCAAATTAGGTTACCAATAAAAATCAAATATTTATAATAACCACGTTACCTACACTATATTACAGAGTATTTAATAGTTAATGGCAACATGTTGTAGTTTTTCTTTATTACAATCAGCCTTTTCGTGTCAATCATAGGCGTAGCTGCCATACTTTGATATCAAAATTAAAAATCAAATAAAAAAAAATACCTAAATTACCAAGCCAAGCTTATGTTATTAATTGCTGTTTCAAGTTCCTAACTAAAAGAAAGTCTTTAAGCCCCTTTTTGCAACGCCCATGGATGGTAGTTCAACCGCAGCGGGTATAAAATCACACGGTGCCGTCAGTTTGTCTGGCGCGATTTTATTTTAGCTTTTGTTGCTGCCTTTTTTGTATTTTCCTCTAGCACCATTTTGCAGTTAGCTGTTGGCCGTGTAATTGCAGGCAAAAAGGCGGCACAAATGTCGTTTTGCCCCCCTCCATCAACTGACTAATCCCCTTTGCTGATGGTCCTAGAGATGTGCATGGCTTCCATTCGAAAGCTTAGTTTCTATGTTCCTATACGAGGGTCGGGCTTGATGGAATTTAAAAAATAAATTTATAAAACTAGGAGAAAGTTTTTGAGTTCTTAATAAACTGATTTAAAATATTCTAAAAATTTGTTAAATTAAAAATAATATTTTATTTCCAACTTTTCATTGATGAAAAAATGGAACATCTTATTTTATAATTTATTATTATTACAATTTAATTTTGTTTTTCTTTTTTTATTTGTGTTACATCACTAGGCTGCACCTTTAAATTTATTTTTCTTTATATTTTATTGTTGTTAATATTGTTCAGCTTACGTAAGCTCGCAAAGGCGGCAAAATGAAATGAAATTACATTTTTATAATGGGCGATTCCCATTGCGACATTGCAAGCATCAAGCGGAATTTGCTCGCTTGCAGTTTTCCTTTTAAAAATAAATTAAAAAATGTATACATTGTTCATTCGGTTAATGCTTTATAGATCCTATATAATTTCTATACGTGTTCACGACTATATGTTCTTGTTAATAATGTCTGAAAACATAGCAGTACCCCTACTTGATTTCAGCTTTCTTTATGGTTTTTCCTAACCAGATTAAGTTTAACAACAATTACAATCATTACAAACTTAAACAAAGAAATCAATTCTTAACATTATTTTTAATTTTCTTGTTTATAAACATATTTAAAAAATATTTATCTTGGTAGTAAAAGCAGCTGTAGTTGGCTGCTTAGCCACCACAAGATTTAACTCGAAGCGAAAGCTATATGGCAAGATGGGTGCGAATTGCGTCAGAGAGACTGTGTGAAAAGCTAATGGACGATCCGAATGCCAAATTCAATTTACGATTCGCCAGTTTGTTCGAGATTTCCTCTTCAGTCATTTTGATTTTGGTGCAGCTTCCGATTTGGCCTGCCGCCTGCGGTTATGTTTGCCAATTTTGCGGCCGTCTTTCACTTGCCGCATCTTTCCTACCAATTCTGCCGCTAAAAGGCCACACACATCTCTGCCCCCCTTTTAGGCACACACACACACACACAAACATATATATAAATGTATCTGAGAAATGCAACAGAACCATGCCGAAGAAAAAAAAAAGATCAAAAGGCAGCACTGCAACGTGCTATGGGTACTAGTACTAACATTTTAAGTGGGGCGTATTGGGCTGGATGTTGGGGTAAGGATGTTGTAGTTATCAAAATAAGTTTATTTATGAAACATTTCTAATATGTTTTTAGTTAATATTTGTGATCTAAAAGGACTTATAAAAATATTTAAAAACTTTTTATAAGGAGAATCCATTTTATATATAAGTTCCTAGGCGAAAAAAAGGTTCTCTGCGTACATTTTCAAGAGGAAAATGTATTGGGAAACATTAAAAACATAAATATTATTAAAAAACGAATAAGAAATATTATAGAAAAATGCAAATTAAAAACCTTCACTATATTTTTCCACGGTATTGTCCTAATTGGATATTTGAGGATCTCATTTGGGGCTGCTTACGTAGCTTGTTGATGTTTTCGTAGCTGACTCTTCGTTGACGTTTGTTTATAATTTGCGTAGCGCTTCGATTTTATTATTTCTGTTGCTTCCTTCTGAAAATAATCATTTTATTTTTGATCGCTCTCGAGTCGGGCCATAAATTATACCACCAAACGGAACATGTGTGCGTGTGTTCGTTTTCCCCAGAAGGTAAATATTGGCCCCAGAAATCTCCACACTTTCATGCCGGACAAGTGCCGGTACATAACTATAAATGTATGTACATAGATGTACATATGTATGTACGTACATCCAATATAAATACTCTTGTTAAGATTTTACATATGTTTCACAATTTGCAGCTGTTACTTCTTTAGTTTAAATTTGATTTAATTGACTATAAAATATATTTTAATTACAGGAAATAAATGGAATAAATTTGGGAAGAACTAAAATTCAAAAAACTAAAGTTGATTATAAAAATAGAAAAATCAAGTTAAGGTTTTCCATTTTAAGCATATTTCTACCCATAAAGTCAAGCTTACGGCCTGCAATTTCAAGCGCAATCTTTCCGCATGGCAACTCATGTTGCATCCACAGATAAAATCAAGTTTTCAACCCCCTCATTACTTTGTATTGGCGTTCGTGGCACTTGGCTTATTTTGGTCTTGTTGCAATTTAATTAAAAAAATTGTTACAATTTGCCATAAATTTCACATGAGCTTTGGCCAATTTCGCCTTTGCATGCGTTCAGTTCGTGTGTCTGTAAATGTATCTGTATCTATGTACATGTATATCTGAAAGTGTATCTGTATCTCTGTCTACGAAGGAGAATTTAGTGCGCACATGAGCACGCACATGGTGTATGCAAATTGCGGTGGGGCAGGTCGCAAATTAGCCATGTTGCCGATTTTTCCCCATGTAGCCGTTGTGGCATAAACATTTCTACAAGTGAAAAATCTTTCAAGACCATGGCTGGCAAGTACTTTAATTTATTTTATATTTTTATTTGATATAACTTACTAGACGCCCTTAAATCTAGGATCGTAATCTTAATCTGATCAGTTTTTAGTTTTTAAAATAAAATATTTCAAATTTTTTAATTTAAAATCCTATTTTAATTTATACTATTAGAAAATAATTGTTTTTCAAGTTTTTGAAACTACAATTTCCTGTATGATTTCTGAACCGAAGACATTCTTTCACTACTTATATTCCCTAATTTTAAGGGCTAACCCTCAAGAAACCATATGTTTCATATCGTCTTGTTCAGCGATCACCATTTTCCTCTCTTGAGCAGTCTACAAGCAAATATGTAAGAGAATTTGAGTGGAAACAAGTACAAGAAAACACTTAGTATTTTGAACTCTTTAGAGTGTTTTTGCATGATCTCACGATCTTTTAAGAGTAAGTAAAACTCTTAAATTATTTGAGCACAGAATGTGAATTCCACTCAACTTAGGGATCTTCTGTTAGCGTTGCACTCAGTTTTCTCTTTAGATTAGTTAGAACTCTCTTAAATTTGGTAAGCGAATAGAGTGAATAAGAAATGGAAAGAAAGAGAACAAGAACAGCTGTGAAAAATATTGATGTATAGGCAATAAGTTTTTGAGATCTGCCAGCTGATCGCTGCCGAAGCCGCTGCCTCTGTCGCTGCCTCAGTCGCCGCCTCTGTCGTTGCTTCAGTTGCTGCCTCAGCCGACTGAGGCAGAGAAACGTGAACGTGACTCTCGCATTTAAATTATAATTTTTCTCTAAACTTTTTTAAGGGGTATAAATTTTGTTTTTGAGTAAGAAAATCATCTTAAACAGTCATCCTTAAGAAAATGTTTTTCAAAAGTTTATATTAAAAACGAATATTTATAAATACGAATGACTATATGAATAAGTTTTTAATAAGTTAACATCTATTGTTTATATTTACAGAAGTATATTAGTATTAGGTACATAACAGTAAAACCAACATTTGCATTGCCTTCCTTTGACTTTCCTCCTTTTCATTGCCCGGCGAACTTTGTTTTTTACGGCCTCTGCCCGCTGATCTTTTGCTTTTCTTTGACTGCAAACATACAAACATCGATTTATAGGCTCGCTTTTTGGTTTTATTTATCGTAGATTTCCCCATTTTACGCTTATTTGTTTTGAAATAAAATTAAACGACGCATGGCAAATCGAGAAACGGCTAAACAAAAGGGGGCCAAGAGAAGGCAAACAAATGAACCGCACAAATTGCATTTCTCCGATCGAGCCGAACGTATTCCCCAGATACATTTTTATATGCCGACAAACATGGGGTTAGCTGCAAGCGAAATTTACAGCAAAAAACGAGATAGATTTGGGAAATTAAAGAAAAAAATGTTAAGAGTTTAGGTTTTAAGCTTAAGTTAAGTTTAAGTTTTAAACTATTTCTTAAAATATAGTTAAATATATATAATTTCCCACTACCGCAGCACATAGTAAATACTTTATCACTTTCTTCAGCTCTCTTTAAAGCTCTTACAAAACCTAAACTTTAAATCCACGCACAAAAGCCGACAAAAACGAACCGAAAATCCCAAGAGTTATGTTGACTGACAGACATGGCGTATGCGCAATGTGCGCATTGTCCATTCTAACGGCGTCATTTGTTTGGCTTAATTGCCGATAAATAATTGCAAAGCGGAGTTGCAAACGACCCCCCTCCAAAAACCCAGCCGCATTGGCAAACTCAAGCAAAAAGCCGGAAGAAATGGCAGGAAATTCACATTCGCAAATCATTTTTCAGGCCCAGGCGACAGCTGCGAAAATAAACGAAAATAAGAAGCAGGCGTCGGATTTGAAGCGGTGGCAGCGAAACCTTTTAGCCCCGATTCCATCTGTGTCATCTGGGGGGGCTCTAGTGAAAGTCAACCCCTTGGAAGTGCACTGGGAAAAATAAGGCAGGCAAAAGTATGAAATTCTATGAAAATTCTCTACAAATCGACAATTTTCCCTTCCAATTCAAAGCTCAACTTGTGATGGATGTTAATTTTCCTTAAAGATGGAAAAATCTTTCCTCTCTGTGTATGATCCGGCACTTATCCCTTCTCCATGACCGATCAACCGCAAGTTACAAATGTCAAACGTTGTTTTTGTCAAAGGACCTTTCAATGCGTCTTTGTTTGGCGGGGAAGGAGGGGCGTCAACCCTCTGATGGCAAGTCCCGAAGGAAGGTGCGATGACGCAACAGTTCTATTATGCCGGATAAGGACCATCCACATATCTACGCATTTCTTACTCTGCGATTTGAAGCGCCTGTCACAATTGACTGACGTTGATGACGCACCAGAGCTGCAAAATATTCGCATATGCAAAAGGTGGAAGGGCGGTGGCCAAAAAAGGGTTTCCCGAATCCATTCATCACCCTCCGCTTACGGCCAGCTGCAGATCTCGAACTTCGGACCCCGACCTCGAGCTCTGGTCATTAGGCATGTCAGTCACATCATAGGTTATTGTTCCACTGCAGACGACCATCAATGGTCAAGGAAAAGGGGTTGTACTCGGTTATTGGGGAGTTGGAAGTCATATGGTTTTCTGAGAAATATCTTATAGAAACTCCCCCTATTTATGTTTATTCGAGAAAGTCATAGATTCTAAGCCATTTTCCATATCATAACAAAGAAGAGTCTCATAAGTTTACTTAAACATGAATTAGGATTTTGTAGATTTTTTTTATCTTTATTAGCTTTCTTAGCATTTACCTGAGGTTGTCGATCAACAAAATTACATAAAATTTAGTTTATTTATCCTGTTCAAGATCCTTCAGCAGATTCTGTTTACGAAGTTCTTGCAGCACAGCTTTCACAGGTTTGAAGTGGTTGAGAGTGAAGAAATGGAAGCCCCAAATGCCCACATCGGCATCCAGAATATGACGAACTGTCTCGACTGTAAGGCGAACGAAGAACTTCTTAATCGGATCCTGGTCAGTTATCATATCCTTCCCATCAGCTGCTATAAGCTGATTAAGTTCTTCGCGTAAATCAGTTGGAAGATGAATATTGGCTATTTTTTGGATAGCTCTATAAGTTCGAATAGATTCGTGGGCCATCAGTCCAATTACTATGGGTATCGTAATCCCAGCAGCCCGACAATCCCTAACAAACTGCACTATGACCTCGGGTTGGTAGCTTAACTGGGTGATAATGCAATCTGCTCCAGCCGATACCTAGCAAGGAAGCTTGTTAAGTAGTTTGTTTTATTAATATTTGTAAAAAAAGAACCCACCTTTGCCTTTAGGTACTCCATGTTCTTAGCTAAGTCCGGGGGGAAATCGCCCAAGCTGGTGTATCCCTCTGGGTATCCACCCACGCATACGGAAATTTTCTCTGAAGGGAAGAAAAGAGATTATTATTTTGGAAATTACTTTAAGTTTAGATATTTTTTAAGTAAACAAGTTATGGTTTTTCTAACGTGCTGCATTTTACGAGAGCACGTAGTTTGTGTTTATTGTTTAGGCAAGAAGTGGAATAAAAAAGCTTAATTAGAAATATTTAAATCATATAAACTAAGCTTGGTGGGTGCATCTTAAAAGCCGAAAATCCAACTGAAGATGTAGGCTAAGGTTTCAAAATGAACTTACCACCTCTTTTCTGCTTTGATTCCACGACAATTGGCAGACTAATCTGATAGTCCTGACCCTCATGAACTTGATCCCCTCGAACGGCCAGAACACTGGTAATATTCATAGCCAGTAACTTATCAAGACGCTCCTTATCCAATCTATATGCAGACAAATGGGTTAGGACGGGTATGTTGGTAGCCAGATGTTCGGTCAACTGAAGACTTTCCACCTGATCCACTGGCTCTACACCCCAGTAACGCTGACTCAGCCAGACGATACTCACAAAGGTCGGCAGGAGTGGCAGGAAGTTATTAAAGTCAACGCAAGTTGGCTTGCCACGGATATTACTGGCCATCAGTTCGATACCGTAGAAGAAACGCTTTTGGTTTGTCCGTTCGGCGACAAGCTGTCCAATCCGCTGCTCTCCCATTTCGGCTGCCATCTGACCAGGAGTAAAGGTTATGCAGGGCACGTAAGAGGAGGAGGGTCGGGCAGCGGCAATCGACGGACCACCAGCGTTCACTTGAATCGCATGCATCGCATATATGGGGACACTACTCACTCACTCGCAGATCAACGAAAACTGCCGGCTGTTTGTCAATTGCCAAATGGGTTATCACCGATCAGCGATCTATCTCAGCTCAACGAATCTAGATGCTGCACATGCCGACGAGATTTCTACACAGAAAAAAAGCACAGAACAGATTGTTACGGTAAGAGAACCTGGAAATTGGCTTTCCGGAAACCATTTAAGAGCATTCCGAAGCTTCGATTTGATTAATATTGATTGTGACTCATTCAAATTGGTACATTACCTTTGAAGTAATTTATTAAAAATAATATATTCTAACGATCGATTAAATTATGTGCATTTTGATTAGAATTTCATAGGAAACCTTTAAAAGAAAAGAGCATCCAGAGATTTTCTTTACTTATTTTTATATTTTTACTAAAATCAGCCATTGAGCTTATCAGTTTTCTGGGAAATGACAAACAGTTTTTATAATCTATTTTTTATAATTGAAATTTTGTTATAAGTCCATTCATACCTTTGGTTTTTCTACTTTTTGTTTACAAAACAAACCTTTTCGGAAGACTTTTAGTCTTTTCCTATTCAACTTAACACTGGAATATAGGCAAAAAAAGGATTTTCTTCTTCAAAAAAGAGGACCTTTTCATTCAGTTTTCCTTTTACAAAAAATACCAACAAAAGCGAACTCCCCAATTGTTGTTTAAATTTCTTTGCAGAACCATTTCTATAATTGCATATTTTCTTTATTCAAAGATTTTGGAGGTGCGTGGGAATCGAGAATGGATCCACTTTCAACCCTTTTCAGCTTCCCCTGTGAAAATGGACTCTAATTTGAGGCAATCGGTCTCAACGCCATCCAATTAAAGATTTCATGCAGCTGCATTGGTTGAAGGATGGAGACCTTCAAATGTTTCCGTCGTTTTCGGATCCGACCTAAAATTAGTTTGGCCTGTAAACATGTGTGTGTGTGTGTGTGTGTGTGGGAGTGCACCATGGAACCTGTTCTTGGTGCTGGTGCTGGAAGGCCGTTCTAAATTTAAATATTCCAGCGCAGCAGGCAACAGAAATTGGTTTTTAGGGGAGAGATCTCTTGTCTATAATGCTTAGAGGACACAAATAAATGTGACAGAGAAAATATGTTGGAAATCATTTTATATGGGGAAGTAAGACATTCGAATATCCAAAAATTTACCAAGCGCAACGACAAGTATTCCGGAGTAGATGGAATGATATATCGACGGAATATCTGAGATGCATAAAACACAAATGGGGATGACAAGGCAAATATGTTGGGAATGGTTGGGTTTGGGTAATTAAAAGCGAAATAATCATAAAAAGAAAACAGTTTTTACCTATATAAGATTCTTAATTTGTTATAATCAAAAAGGAAGTTTTGTTTTTATGGTCATTAAGTTTTTAAATTGGAATAAATTTGATTATAAATTTAACATCTAGAGGTCCTCCCTTCTCTATTTTATATATAAGTTTTTCTTTTTCACTTTCTTTTCACAAATCTGAAAGGAAAATGAGTTCAATGAACGCCTATAATCAAAGTTTTCGCTGCTTCAATGAAAACCGAATCGAGCGAAACCAAGAGCCCTAAGATCCTTACAAAGGTCTTTCAGAAAGAACTTCAATTATGAGTATACCCCCAATGGCTTACCTAGGACTTGATTTGTTGCCTGGCAAGGATTAGGGAATACTATATTGTACCGTCCCTTGCAATGGGCTTCGATCTTTATGCCTGATTGAGAGTCATCCTGGAAATTAGTTCAGCTGCTCTTTCACCATCGATGGCTGATGGGTCACCTGCTGCGAGGCGATGAATTCTGGCTTTATTATAGCCAAATTTTTCACGAAACCCACTGAGGGGTTAAATTACTACGTGGCAAGAGGACGCGAGATCAAAAATATTTGATAAAATGCGTCTACTTAGGGAATGAAAGTGCGACGTGGGGAAAACACACACACACATGAAGGTACAATTTCTCTTTTCCTTCATTTTTTTTTATATATTTTTATGCCACTGCTCCTGCTTGCTCGTCATAAGATACTTTGCTCTGTTCAAATTAAAAAATTCCTCTGAGAGCTGAGGGAAATTATATTGCGGTGGCGGTTCCGGTAAGTGGGAGGAGGTGAAAAGAGTGGAAAAATGTAATAAAGACATGAGTTGTGAAATTATTAAGATGATTACGGCAACAGCAAGGCACTCGAGTGCCTCCTCGGTGCTGGTTTCATAATCAGTCTGAAATGCGAAGGACACTCGCAGGTAAATCACTTGCCAATTGCCTGATGGACTTCCATGTTTTAAAAGGTTTCTTTAACTTTTTATCTTTAAGTATTGAATTTAAGTTAGTTTTTAGGTAGCAGATAAAGTTAGTTAAACATTTTTCTGATTTAAGATTGTAAAGATGCCCAAAGAGCCCTAAAATGAAATTGAAAGCGAATTAAAATCTACAAACTTCAAATTCAACAAACTGATTTAAATCTATTTGCGCAGTTGAAGGTTGCTGATTATATACATGTGTATTCATTTAAGGACGCCTGGAATTTTCCATGGCATTTGCAACCGCTGTGAATCATCAAATCGAGGGTTGAAACACTCTCGGTTTTTGGGGGATGCATCTCGGGATCAGAGCATCGGACGCACCACCACCAATTTCCGCCTTACCTATGTGGAATTTTTGTGCTTGTTGCCAGGCAGGACGATGAAAAAGGACGAAAGCCATAGGACACTCATAACTGGGTGAGTGGGCTGGCCGGGTTCCCACTGACTCACTGACTGAATGCCACAATGGATGAATGAATGAGTGAAGGCCCGGCTTACAAAGGGGGTTGTTTCGCCCACCGACGCCCGCTGGAATCGCATCATTATAATAGCTGCACTTAGAGAAAATATGGGGTATTGTCCATGAACTTGTCTAAAAATTCTTCTCAAATTGTCAGAAGTTTAACTTTAATTTAACCCAAAACTATTTATATGTGAAAAGATGTTAATTTTGTAATCACTTCTGATTTCTCTCAGTGTCAAATCTGTTTTGGGCATCTAGTGAGTGACGAGTGCCGGCTGCCGCAGTTGTTTTCATACATTTTCCGTTGGCTTCGGTTGGGTGGCGGCGCATCAACCCCTGAATGCTATACTATATACTATATAGTACGTATGGACGCGTATAACACATCCTGCACCGAAGGACATCGAGCCACCTTTGTGTATTTCGGTTGCAAATCTTTTGGAAATTGCGTCACCGCCGTGCGGCGAACGTGTCAGGCACGCAGCAGTTCTGCCCCATCCCCTCTCCTTCTCGTTGCGTCCTCCCAGAAATCCTTTGCAATCTCGTATGAGTTACTGACATAATTAGGACTTAACTGGAAGTCACGCGCAGCGCATTCGTAATCCGAGTCCTGCCGCTCCTGTTCATGAGTATATATATATATGTATACCGCATTCAAGGTCACATTTCCACATTCACTTCTACTGCCACTACCAATTCCGATTCCAGCTGCGGTCGAGTGAGCCGTCAGCGATTCGATTTCATCTCATTTTGCAGTCGGCAGCTGTCCTTTAACCCATTGGAACGCTCATTTCAAGAGATTACTGTAGGTCCATTTAAGACTGTTCAGGATGGGAGACTTACTAAGCATTAGATAGTCGGGGAAGCAAATAAGTAGATATAAGGATAATGACTAGATCTAAGCTGCAATCTATTTGCAGATGACTGTAGAGATATTAGAAAATATACTTGATTAAAGTATTTTAAGGGTTGGAGATACAGCAAATGGTTTATTTTTTAATTAAAAACATTTCTATTCCTATTGCTTGTTGTCTTGAAACAAATTAGTAAAGTTTTTTTTGGCCATATATACCAATCTTTTAGGAAACTCCTCTGAAAACCACTGATTTGCAAGCTAGTAAAATGGGAAATTACTGCCAAGACAAAAAGAATTTAATATAAGATCATTAGGCAGAAGTATAAAACTTTGTTAACGTTCAAAGCCTCGTTCTTCCACCAAATTCTACAAATTATGTAACTCTGAATGCCGTTGTTTTTGTTCTTTTTCAAATAAAATTGTAATTACTTAAATAACTCAGCCAACATTTTGGTGATTACATACTTTACTTTTACAAGCATGGCGCAGGGCAATATTTAATTTCACACTCACGGCCAAGTTTTCGGTTTCTCCGGATGTCTAAGTCATGCCCAAATGGTCGAGGTCGAAGGAGCAGGGAAAGGTTGAGGAGGAGGAGTAGGAGGAGGGCGGTCCTGAGGTCCTGAACGGCAAACAGGACGCACAATGGGAAAAGCAAGTCAGCAGGCCTGCACACATGCACACACGCACCGAACTAAAATATGTGTAATTTAATTATGGGCCTGCCAACGACTGACTCAACGTCGACAACGACGTCGACGTCGACGCGTGCGGCGGGTGGCAAATTGCCAAAAAAAAAAAAAAACACAAAAAATGTGAAAAAGTCCCGAAAAAACTATAAAGTCCTGGAACTCGTTTGTGAGATACCCTAAAGTGAAGAGTTTCATAAAGACTTTTCTTAAAATGTCACTTTTCGATAGCAATATATCGATAAGTTCGATAGTTTTTAGTTTTTATACGAATATGTTTGCAGGAAGACTCCTCTGAGAAGATATAGCTGTGAAGGCATATTTTGATATCTTCTCCTGTCCCAATTTACCCCTATATACCCCTCCACTTCTAAAGTACTGGGTATCAAAAACGGTTATATACGTAAAGGGGAAGTCGAATGTACGCATATCCTGCTGCTCAAAAGTCCTGCCCCCTAGCCGATTTTCCTACGCTTTCTGCGCCTTTTGTTGCCCAGTTTTTCCTCCTCTTTTTTCGTTGTTGTATGATCCCATCCCCATTTCGTTATTTTGACTCAAGCTGTGCACATTTTCGGTTTGATTATCGAACACAATATTTTTTCCGCTTTCCTTGTTGGCCATAATTGACGATTGCGCCATGAGTCGCCACAATTTCCCAGCCCCCTTTTGGCCTCCGACCCAAGCCAGCCACGCCCCATTTTCGCCCACATCGACATCCTATTTTCGCATCCTCTCTGGCGGGCCGAGGCTTTCCCTTTTAATGAAATTTTCCCCTGCGCTGGTCGAGAAAACACATTAAACAGATTTCAATTTTTTAATATTCCAGCGTTTATTGGGTGGCATTTTCGTTTTTTTTCGCCCGTTTTGTTGGGTGGGGTTGGGGGCGAAGGGTCGTAGAAATTAATTTGTAATGCGGAAATTGTAAAAGGCAAAAAGATCTGAAAATTATGTTGTAATTTGGAGCGGCGACGCGAATTTGATTGAAATATTACTGAGGAAAACTGAGATGAAGCTCGTTAATGGCAAATGTTGGTGTGCTTGAGTTTTATGGGATGTATGATTGCAGCATTTTGGAAAATCTAAGATGATTAGATTGTAATCATAAAAGAGAAATTAATCAAAATAAGTTACTTAGGAAAGTTATAGAAGTTTTGGAAGTTATAAATATTCCTTAAAACAAGTTTCTTTTCTCTAATCAAACCAAAATTTAATGTTTAAAAATAAGATTATAAATCTGTAGCCATGGGATGTTCCGCACTCGGAGATACAAATTGCTGATACCATTCAAGTTGCTGTCGATTATTACTTCACCATTCAACTCGAGTCTCAAATCTCGAATCTCGAGTTGAAGGTAACACCACCAGAGCAGCAAACAAAAGATTGAACCGCCCCAAAAATGGTTGATTCGGGCATTAATAATAGCAATAAAAAGTGTCGTAAAAGAGCCGGTCGTAACCGTTAAAGCCAGAGAAACCCGTTAAGAGCACGAGCAGCGTAACACCCACACACGCCGAATATGTAAAACGGTGGTAATGCCATGCACAAAGCCAAAAAAATAATAAACCGAAGAGGAGCCACAAATATTGATAGTACAATGGGCAAGCAGCACCATAAATGGTGTCCAACCCAGCCACAATCTTATATCGGATAGGCTCTCTTTTATGGCCAGAGTTTCGTTACGTTTTTGGCCTGGTCGTGTGTTTCTTGGCAGCTATTGATTGGCGACGGATGGTGTTAAAGGTGTGCCGAATCATAAGGAAGCCAGCCGCTTGAAATTCGATTATTGTCACGGTCATGTTTTCACCAAAGGGCGGGTCATCCATCAACGAAATTTTCATGATTTTCACCTTTTTCCTATAAATATCCTAATTGGTGAGGGGAGGTGTCGGTTGATCAGCTAAAAGAGTTGGACTTAAGAACTCTTTAAGCGAGGTTTACACCCGTCACTCGTTGGTTATAGTTGTTAGTTACTAGGGAAAATAGATTATATAAAACTTAAGTAAACACCAATAAAACATATCCTAATATAGTTTTAGTAAACATATACCAGCAATAAACATCATTTTCCGGACCAAAATCAGTTATTCCAGAGGTTCCCTGGTGTGCTCTTGTTTATGAGTCGTAAATCCCAATTAGGATGAAATGTTTTGAGCCTATGTATGTGGCATGGTGTCCTTGTGGTCCCAACAGTTCCTAACTTTGATGACTGGAAATAGTTCGAATGTGTTTATCTAGCCGTGTAATGGCAAACACCTTGCGCCACAGAGACCCGTCAACTTGTTACCCTCAATGCGAAGGTATCAGCCTCAAGTATGTATATACATTTAAGGTATACAAAGTCCCGAGCATTATGTATACAATATATATGTAAGTATACATGTATGTACGAGTATGTATGTACAAGTATGTATGTATGTATGTAGGCACGAAATTTCTGTTGTTTCTATCTGTTGATTTTTCTTTCTACGGCCTGCATACATTTTGAGGTATTGGTTTGTTTTCTGTCCTTACAGTGAAGCTAAGTTAAGAGGATACCTTTGATATTCAATAATATTTTTTTTTAGAATCTTTCAGGTGCAAACTAAATTCAAGATCTCTACAAAGTACCTTTATAAGAGAATAATAATATAAATCTTATTAGTTTATTCATTTTTTTTCTCATACTTTAACTTACTTTGTAAATCATATTACTTCCCTTCTTGAATATTATTTTAATAATTTTAGCAAAATACGTTTCTTCAACAGAGCTCCCACTGTAGTAGGCTTCTCTTCCATTTTAGGGCCACTTTGAGGCGACTGACGAACTGACGAAACCGACTGACTGACGAAATGACGCGACGACGAGTGGATGGATGACTGACTGATTGCATGACAAACTAACGAAACTAACGAATCGGCGGACCAACCGATGCCAAACACTCAAAACAAAACGAGACAAAAAAAAAAGACACGAAAAAATAGAGATATACCTATACATACATACATACCTACATATGTACATGTATAGGTGCACATATGGACACTCAAAAGCAAAGAAGACGAGAACAGGAGAACTCTTAAAAGGCTGGCAGCAGCAGTAGAAGAAATACAATAATGGGCTCGAGACCCCGGGCCCAAGTTTACTTTGCCTTTTTCACTTTTGATATTTTGACATTTTCATTTGACAGCTGATTGAAGGGCCCCCGACCAACAACAACAACAACAGCAACACGGCTGTGTGATTCGATTTCGATCGATGTTGTGGCGACACTGAGAGGTACACAGGAAAAGTAATATTAGTAATTGATAACTATAAATGATTAACCAAAAATGAGTACATTGAATCAAGGTATAAGTTAGCTATATTTAAAAACTTTCTATTTTTGAATTTTATATATTTTAACAGCTTATAAAAGCTGTGTCCTATAGATTTTTCCAGTGCACCAACTGGCCAGGAACGATAGCGATAGCTTGTTGTCAGGTCGAATAGTGCTCACGCTCATGTGGTGCGGTGGTGTCAAGTGCCCTGGCAGTGGGGCAAGCACCGCACAAGAAAGCGGAAAAGTACCAGATATTTTTAACTTAAAAGTTTCAAAGTATGTTCAAATAAATAAACAAATAATCAGATAAATGAATCATTAAAAATATGTAATTATTTTACTTGAAAGTTGTTTATTTATGAGAAAATTTGGGAAACTTATATCAAAATGGAAAAAAAAGACCTTTTTAAGACACATTTAATCCGATTAAAAGATTCTTATTACTATTACGATCCTTTTTTTGTAGAACCCACTGTGCCGCGCCCCTTATTTCTGCAGCTAAAAGGTCGTGGGCGGGGGCGGGGCGTTGCGCATATGAATGTGTGACATGTTTGTCGAAAATGTTCAAAGTTGTTTGGCTCTTTCGGTTTGCTTTCATTGCTGTTGTTGTCGTATTGCTCGCCTGATGGAAATGGAAATGGAAAGGGGCGTTGAGTGAATGGGGGGCGGGGCAATGAGGTTAGGTGCTTCGCCGGTGCAGGCTAACTTGCGCCTAATGGCGTCGCGTGCGTTAACTTTTAGCGTCAAGTGTCATACACAGTGTGTTTGTGTTTACACTGAGATAAATATTTCAGTTTCTTAGCTCAACTTAGGATATATAAATGGGAGTATTAAATGTGAGTCGAATGATCGGATATATCATAAATATTATTACTATTTTAAAAGAAAAGAAAAGTTTGATTCAAAACTAAGATAAATTTATTCCCGAAACCCGAATTTAAGTAATATTTTCTTTCAGTGTAGCTGTGTGTATTTTATGCTATGTTTGCCTAACTGCACATGACAGTTGCCGAGCATTAGCCTGATCCAATTTGGCATTCCCTGCGTCCCCGCTCGCCTCTCTCTTGCCGTCCAACCCAAAAATGAGTGTCCATTGTGGCAGCGAAATGACCCGAAGCACTCGAGTGACACCTTTTTTTGGGCTGTGGCTCGGCCTTCTTTGCATTTAATTGCCCAAAACGAAGCCACCACATATACTCGTTCCCGTATATGTATAGGTAGGTGGTAGGTACATGGGTGCACCTTCACGAGGGCCCTTCAAATGAGAGCTAATCGAAAGCGTTTTTACTTTCATTTCCTTCTCGAGTTCGGCTCATTTAAGTTGACATTAGTTGCAGGTAACCTTTTGGGTATCCACCAAAGTAATTAAGTTCCTCGTGCGGGGGTAACTATCCAATTAGGAGTTGAATGTTCAATTTTGGAGAAGGTATTATCGAACTGGTGGGCTGTTGTGGGGATGGTAGAGGTAAGTTCTTTGGACAAAACAAGAATTTAATTATATAGAAAGAAGAGAATGAACTTGCTTAAATGGAAATTATGCTAACAGAGATATGATTTGAACTTTTGGTAAATTTAACCAAAATTTGTGAAGTTCCCCTGTAACTCGATCCAGATTGATGGTAGCTTTTTGAGCGCAGACTTAATACGCCAACTGCTAACTTGCCCGGCATTGGCAGTCTTAATCCCATCTGGCCATTCCTCGAATTGAAATACAAGCTGTGGTGTTGTCTATGTGTGTGTGTGTGTGTGTGTTTGTGGGTCCCAAATGAAGATTGACGAGGAACATGCTCCATCCTCACGACCATCTACGCCCACCAATTCAGATTCTTCAGCAAGCGTCCCGAAGACATTTTAATGTAATCCCATAAGATAAGGACTCGAGTGCAGGCAACTGCAGCCGAAGGACACGGAGACTACACGGGACAAATTGCATTGCCATTTCCACGTTTCGCTCAAGGCCCCCCCTGGTTTTCCTTCTAGCAAGCCCTCTCTGTGGATCACCTTCCCATGGTACACCCCTCCTCGCCAGGCAACTCTGTTCTTAAGTGCTTGAAAGCGCATAGTTCGCCAGCTTGTGTGAGACAGGGCGCATACTAGCAGGAGTAAGTGTAATCAACATGCAAGCCGAACAATGCAGGGTGGACCGGTGTGGCGAGGGGTGGACAGTGCACTCTAAAAATATATATAAATAAATCAATTTACAAAATTTGACTTATAAATATTTGAGAAGATAGATAGATTATAGAGAAGAGAGGTTACCTAGGTTATATTGGAATATATATAAACATATATCATTGATTTTTTTTTTCCAGTGCATTAGGATGCCCTCACGTATCCGGTCGGGCGCCTGGAGTGGCGTTCAAAACGAATTTGCCACAGCACTTGAGCGCTCAACAGGACGAGAATGACGAGTGGGGGTATAGCGATGAATATGAGGACGAGGACCACGCGAAGGACCGTCCCCGGATGACTATGGCCATGTGAGGGGAGTACGGTATGGTATGGTACGGTATGGAGTATGGTATGGTATAACAACGCAGCGTAGCGATAATAATGACGGCGAAAACAATTGCAACAGCGGTAAACAAGAACTCGCTCGACACGCTCTCGACACTTGAAGCGACCAAGGAAGGAAGGCGAAGGAAGGACTCCCGGTACCTGGAAGGACTTACCAAGCTGCCGAGCTCGCCTCGCTGCCTAGATCCCCGACAGAAAACATCCCGGAATCCGGGGACGTGGGCACGCAATCACGAGCAACCGACGAGCACGGACGTCTGTTGTTGTGTAATAAGCATTAATGGGGTGCTCGCCGGGATTGCCGTTACCGTTGCCACGGCCGTTACCTATTCATCCCAAATGTTGTTTGTGTTTATCTGTCAACATGCAACGTCGTCGCCATCGCCATCGCCATCACATTGCCGCTCCCTGCATGTTTGCTTTTTGCCTCGGCTGCTGCACAAAGACCACTCAGATCGAATCGCAATTACCGTGGAAAATGGTGTGCGAAAATGTATGCAAATTCTTTGGGGTATCTCTGAGGAACTTAAGATTCTATTTTCCAATTTTAAATTATTTTTGAAGAGTAAATATCTAACGATGTTGACAGAAATTACAATACCTTTATCAGTTTGCATACCTAAATCTATTGGTCACATTTTATGCTAAGTGTGACCATCTACTTTGCATATTATTTTGATTAAATTTCACCTTTAGACTACAATAACCCAATTTTTGAAATTCCTTTGAATTTTGCATTCGATATGGAATGCATATTCTTGGGCCATCCCACTGTACCAATGCCATTATCATCAACGTTTGCCACCGTCATCCCCGAACCCATCAGCAATGCTGATTTTCATGATGATGATGATGATGCCCGCTGCCAACGACGGGGAGCGCGTGTGAGAAATCATCTTTTTAATTTTCACAATCAAATGTTTTTGTTATTATTTTTTCCACTCGACTACCGCATTTCCCGAGCCGGGCTGCAGGCTACGGATAGAGGAGCAGCTGTCCGAAATTGAAACGGGGTGGCTGGGATGTATGGTATATGATAGGAGGATGGTGCGGTGCTTTTGTAGATGGCATGGGATTGGATGGGACTGCCACTCAGAGACTCGAGTTTTGTTTTGTGGTTTATTACACGCAAATAAATTACATTAATGTTTGTTTCCTTTTGCATGCAGTTGCCGCCATTTAGGGATGAAACTTCAGTCGAGTTCATGATAGTTTCGATTTCTATATCCTTATGTTTGGGACAGCGCTATTTATTCCTATTTGTATAGGATGATAATTCCTTGAATGTTTTCTATAACAAACGAGTAAGTCAAAGCTCTAACCTTCATGGTTACTCCTTAAAAATAACACCTGTCACATATTGCAAAATGTAAAGTCTAAAAAGCAATGTAAAAGCTTGAAAAATTACATAACTGCGGATGAATACCATCTCTATTGCCAACTTTGGCGAACATTTGTTTCCATTTTGTGCTGTAATTTTTCCACTGCAATTTTCCCATACAGTTTTTCCCTTTTTTCCACTTCACAATGCTCTAATCACCCCCTTTGGCATTGCGACTCTGGTCCGTTACTCGATTGTTTGCTGCTCTTTATTAATTTGATCATTTCATGATTGCCATTGTTATTGTTGCTGTTGGCATTGTTGTAATTAACCTTTTGTCTTTTGTCTTTTGTCGCTGCTCGTTGTTGCTGTTCATTTTGGCCAGAGTTTTTGGTCTATTTGTCGGACTCGAACTGGAACCTGAACCCCGAACCTCGAACCCCGAACCCCGAACCCCGAGCCCTATGTCATTGTGTGTTGGCAGCTCTGGTCAAAAGGTCCAACGGATCCCCAGCTCCCATCGGTCCATTGTCCCATATTCCCATTGTATTTAGTGACATCAACACAACACCAAACCCCGAAACATACCCATCCCCCCCCCAATCCATCCTACTCTTGACCATTCCCTGCTGTTTTTCCTCTTAGAGTCATTTCGACATTTTGGGCATTTTCCAGCTAAAGTCGGATGCTAATTATGCACTTGACATTTGACGAGGGCGTTGTCCCGCCCTCGATGCTACTCGACTTTCATTATCCACGTACAACAAATTACTACATAACCCCTTAACCCCTAATTGCTTAGGGGGGTTGGCTGGCAAGTAGTCGTCAGGCAGCAGTGTTAACTGCGATTCGATACGATTTTAGGGTCATTATAACCCTTAATAGGGTAGAAATACAAGATAAGACTGTCTGTGGGTATATTAAAAATAGATTTAACTATGAAAGAGAGAAAATTACTAATAAGAAATTTGTTACTTAAAGCATAAAAATGATTTTGCTTAAATTTTATGTTTTTTTTTCAGTAAAAATAAAAGCTGCCTGGGACAAGAGCTGTTTAATTTATTTATTTATAAGCGCATTTATTCCTTGTTCAACGCATTATATTCGTATATAAATTTACATTAACATTTTTTCGCATCATT